TTTAGTTGCTGGTTTACAGCCTAAAACCACGGCAATGGAGAAAAGAGAGTCTCCTCAGTCAGAACGGTATGTGTCTTAGATTTAGGGTGTATGGGGGGCAAGTTTCCTCATTAACCATAAGCCAGAGCACACATCCTGACAAATCACAGGAAATACTCAATGTTCAGAGTTATGAAAGGAAGTCCGGGTTTCTGTCTCTATTTAGACGAGATGGAATCTAGTTTACTGCCTCAGATATACTGTAAGAAGTCCCTCCAACTGCAGCACAACCTATGTTCCTGATACCTCCTGGGACAAAAAAACTGCTCTGTGCAACATTATAAATGACATTATTTGCTGTTATATACACATTGTTCAGCCTCCTCCTCCTGTTTTTCAATGAAGTCATGCAAATAAGCAACACAGTGAAAGAAGCAACTATGTCCTGTATCCCCTTCTGCCATCAGTAGTGCCGTCAGTGTAACTTTCAGATGTGGAAACCTCCTCCAACTTCAACAGTGGCAATGCACGCCTACAGAATTTGCACAACTTAGAACATATGCCTGCCCTTTAGGTTTATAAAGGTTGCCCCTTGTGGCAAACACTTAGTCTCAGGTCTCAGAGTTGTGGAGATGCTACTGAGTAACTACAAATATTGCAGCAAAACACAGGCTCATATCTGACAGGGCACTGAGTTCTGCTGCAGAGTTAAAATTGCTTTATGTAAACGAAAGCCAGAGGACTCTGCAAGAGACAAGCTGAACATCCACAACATTTTCAAGGCTCAGCCTACTCCAAGGCATGCATGCAGTAAAGAAGTTGCCCTGGGCTCCATTTCCTTCAAAAGAATTTCAATGGAGACATGGAAATTGAAAGCTTCCGAAATACAACTTTCCCAATCACCTCTTAGAAATAAGAAAGGCGCAGCAAACCGAAAGGGAAGTTTAATATGAAAGTAAAACCTTACCGTGTCTGAACTTCCTTCCAGCAGTATGTTGATTGCTCTGTTCACATCCCCATTACAATCATGTAGTGCCACTATGCACTCATCCTGGTTTTTCCCCGTCACTTCCATAAGCTGGCAGTAAAAGTCAGACATGTTAAAATATCCAAATTATCATCAGAAGAAAATAAGAGTTAGTACCATCACAGATTTCAAGAAAGTGCATAGCGACTGTGTCAGAGCAAATTAAACTCCTAAATAAAGGTATCTGCATATTATAGGCCTGCTTGGGATTCAGACCAGACACAGGATGAAACACAAATTAAAAGGTAAACAAGAAAGCAGACTTTTACATTTTTTTTCCTTTAACTTTATCCTTGTGGCAAATGATGTCACTCTAGAGACAGCAGTATCTGACAGTAAAGACAAGGATAGCTCCAGTATCACCTTCTCTCCCTCGCTACCAAACATCTCCCTCTTTAACCCACTGCATGAGAACAGACATAAGGTAAACCATGGCAAAGAATAGATCTATCTGGAAAAACATCCAGACTAAGAAAAAGGTTATTTTTCAGCCAGATTAGCTCCCTCGATCCATTTCAGCATAACACCACACAAAAGGCAAAAGTGACGTCTGCTTAAGGAGACTTAGTATTGAATTACGCTCTGTGGACCTGCGATGCATATCCTGAAGGAGTGTGGGATGGAAACAATCACACTGTCATGGGACATCCAGCAATTTCATCCGAAGCAAAAAACCCCTACCTGAGCTAGAAATACATATGCACATAAATAAATATATATGTAAAATATTGGAGATTTCCTATGCAGAATTTAATTTTATCCTTCCCACTAGGAGAGCTACAGGCACTATTGATGAGGGTCCTTCAGAAAGTACAAGACTTAACTTCTGGCACAGAACGATATCCACAGCACAACAGGGACCTGGATTCTCAGCACTGCTCAAATTAATGGTCACAGTTTTAATCTGGTAATGGAAACTCAAGCATCTACACCTGAAACTCAGCATGGTAGAGGAAATGATGTGAGATTTCATTTCCACCATGTAATTCTATCATCCTAATGCATACACAGATCTAGGAAGTCAGATTTTTTTATATATATTTTTTAAAAAATAACACCTCAATTCACCTTTAAGCTATGACTAGATTTTACTTTTCCTGAAAAACAGCCAAGATGTTAGAAAATACAGCTTACACAGGCAACGTATTTTTCCCCATGTGCCTGTACAGGAAGACAAGTTGAATGCACTCTTTATTCCAACAATCATTAAGCATCAGGACCATGCTAAAGAGATACAGCCTGGAAGAGATATCAGCACAGATGAGTTTTAGCTTAAAGGCTTGTCTACAAAGGAAAATACACTGGTGTAACTACACGGGCAGAGTTACGCTGCCACATAATTTCTTGTAAACAGACTTTACAGTGCAGTAAGAGCACTTTTTCCTAGTTAAACTAGGAAGGAAGGACTCTTTACATTAGTGATGGGTGATAGAACAAGAGGAAATGGACATAAGCTTAGTCAGGGGAGATTCAGGTTGGATGTTAAAAAGAAAGTATTTCTTCTCTGAAAGGGTTGTCAGCCACTGGAATAGGCTGCCCGGGGAGGTGGTTGAGTCCCCATCCCTGGATGTGTTTAAGAATAGGGTGGATGATCTACTTGAGGATATGGTTTAATGGGGATTAGGGATGGTTGGACTCGATGATCTCTAAGGTCTTTTCCAACCTAGAAATCTATGAATCTATGAATCTATGAACTTACGTCCTTCTGAAAAAGGTTTCATCTAAATTAGAAACAGATGCTCTAGCTCCAAAATGTAAGCCAGCTTTGGAGCACTTTATTGCAAGGTACAAAGACTCTGTGCCGTGAGAAACGTACTTGTTTCACTTTATCTTCAAAGTCTGCGTCGTTCTTATCATAGATCATCTGAGCAAGGCGAATCTGTTCTGCTGTGGCCTGAAAAATGCAAACATCCCATAAAGTATACAAAAGGTAACAATGTATTTTTTAAAAGTGTCTCCCAGTTTCGTCTCTTTTTTTTTTCCCCCACCAGATTCTCAAAGACAACATACACAACAAGCACAGAGGAGCTATGGGGAAGGGATTAACATCTCCCCATGCCTATTTTGTAGTTAAAAAGTTAGCTGGGACAGAATTCGACATGTTTTCATGTGTTTGAACAACAGTTAAAGGTCACCACATAGACAAGACAATCATATGATAAAACAGAATTCACCACAGAAGCCAATGCGTTCACATTACTTTTATTTTAGTATCTACCACTCCGAAGTTAGAGCTTTATCATAACAAACTGGCAACAGTATTTCTAAATTAACCACATCTCTGATGATTCCTGCTTGCATCACCTTCCACAACCCTCCCAACAACAACGTGACCTTGTAGTATCAGGGGCACTTAAAAAGAGGCTGAGTCATGCCTGAAGATTTTGATGGTGAACAGCTGCTCTTATGTTCTTTATAAGCCAATACTGGTTTCTCGAAACTGCCAAAGATCTGACTATTCATGAAATATTTGGTGCTCCTGTAACATTCCCGGACCACGAATCCATGCTGGCAACTTCTCCAAAAGCTGAAAGACTAAAATGGATGGATGCAGTAAAGTGCCCTGAACTGACATCAGCTACGGCTGCTCCAGGGAGAAAGCATTTCGAGAACACTAATGTCTCACCATACAGGCCACTTCACGTATGCCATTTGCAGTCTACCTGAACTGCACGCCAATGAAAACACCAAAGATAACTCTGTGCTACATGATCCTGGAGATAACTTGATTTCTGCTCAAGCAGAAGACGCTTCCATTTCATGTTAGAGAAGGCTGATATTGAAGAGAGCCAGGACCCAAAATGTGAGCTGATGTGCTGCGGAAGACAACTTCTTCCAGAAGGGGACCAGCTCATCCACCGAAATTCTTGGCGGGAAGGATTCATCCGGGGCAGCTGGCTGAATCTCACCTTTTGGAGTCTCACTTCACAGGACACTCACATGAAATTCTGTGCCTCCTAAGTTCAGACCTAATCAGCCTCAAAGTGCTTTGCTTTTGGAGTTTACCACAAATACAAGCTCTAGAGGAGGTAGCCAAGTGTAAATGCTGAGAGGAGTCTAAAAATTACTCCACCGTACATCAGCAGCTGCTTATTTTCTGAGAAGTTACTGCAGCTGTCCCAGCTCCTTGAGGAAAGCGGTATCTGCTACGCTCAGAGGCAACGTTCCAAGACAATTAGCGTTTGTAACAGAGTTAAGTACTGTGTGCCACTTCGCATTTTCCAAGTGTCATGCTGACAGCTTCATACGTCAGTCGGCAACACGGAGGAGAGCCTGCTCTGGAATTCCCTGTGCCAGCCCTGGTGCCGCCCGCCATGAAAGCCTCCCAGTCACTGCAGTGCTCTGCGTGAAGGAGCTCGCTCTTGGCATCTGCTGAGACCTCAGCACAGAGCAAAACAAAACCTGCTGGTTTCAGGAATTACGCTTTGTTGATCCATCTTCTCACTCAGACTTCAGCCTCCTCAGGCCCACTGCAACTTTTAAGCTAGTGAAGAGATTTCCTTTAAAGATATCCAGAGTAAAAACATTCAGACAATGCAACTTCTGTAGAGACATGACCAGAAACAGGAAGCCATTAAGATTCAGTTTTTCCATACACCAAGCTTTTTTCAAGTCCACATTAGAAGACAAAAATATACCAATTTTATAACAGTATGAAGTGTCTAACGGTATCTTCAGTTTTCCTGTGTAAGCAGAGAGCTTAGAAACACAAGCAGGTGCAATACTGCTAATATGTATGCCAGCGGATTACACCCAGGTGGAATTGAAGATTCGGAAGAAAAAAATAACAATAAAAACCCACAAGATGTGTCTACTACACAAATACCAAATCATTGTCACAAAAAGTTTTGGTTTTACCCCTAGAGAGTGGTGGTTGTTTATTTTTAAGGCACCATCATTACAAGTAACTGTGTAGTATCCTATAAAAGAGTATAACTGACTTTTAATTGTGACTATGAGAACAGTAGCATTCTAAGACAGCTAAAACTTTACTCACCCTTAAAAGATAAATTATCTTTGTGGTGTAACAGACTGAAGGAAACCTTTAACTAACAACTTCAAACTAACAGAAAACAGAAGCGTGCAAATCACAAAATTAAGTGACAGAAATAGGGCTAGATCTTATAATAACATGGTATATTTATTATCTAGAAACAATGCAAAAGAACTGCAATGTAATTTCTTAAATAAGTTAATTTATGATCAATGTGATACAAGAATGAAATGTCCATTTGGGAAAGCAACATTACTCTACATTCAGAAAAATTAACCACTGGTGACTACACTGTAAAACCCTGTTGATCTGTAGAACCTGACTAAGCAGGAAGGTCCATCTCATATCTAAACAACAAAAAATGGTACATTAGAACATAATTGCTGTATGTCAAATAACCATCTTTTCCACTGAATTGATCAAATCAGTATCTATGTCTCAGTTTCAGCTGGGACAGAGTTAGTTCTTCTTTTCAGCAGCCAGAAGAGCTCTGTTTTGGTTTTAGTCTGAGATTCATTAGGAGAAGAACGCCGACAGTGCACTGACGTTTACAGATGGCACTGAGGTCTCAAGGACTTTTCAGCTGCCGTGTTCTTGCCAGTGTGCAGGAGCACAACAGCATGAGGGAGAGCATGGCCGGCACAAAGGGTTCACAACTGCCCTTATGATTTGTACTTAGACTTAGGATTGAGGGCCAAACTGGCCAATGAAGTATTCCATGTCATGCAGCGTCATGCCCAGTATAAAAATGAGGGTCAGCTGGAAAGAAGGGCCTTTGCTCTTCCTGGGCTCTCACACTCCAAGTGCTCTCTCTCGCTCTATTTTTGGGCCTCTTGCTCATCCGGGATTGCGGTGTCAGGACTTACCTGTTTTGGATCATTAGTCCAGGACAAGATGGGCCTTGGACAAGGGGTGGTGAGCAACTACAATGTGCATCTCTTGTTTGTATATATATTTATCAATTGTACATATATGTACATGTATTAGTAGCAGTAGTATTAAATTGTTCTTAACCCACGGGTCTCTTCCCCTTTTCCCCCTTAATTCCCTCCCCCATCCCCTGGGGTGGGGAGGGTTAGCAAGCGGCTGTGTGGAGTCTCGTTGCCAGCCGGCCTAAACCACGACAATCTACCAGGCCAGAAGTAGAATAAGCTGACAAAAAGCAGAAAAAGGTCTGTAAGACTTAATGCTTAAAATCAACGAATCACATAGGCTGCAAAGGTCTTCTGGTGATACTCAGTGCAGACTCCCACTGAGAGCATGTCCCGCCAGGGGAGCTGCTTGGGGCCAGACAAAGATCCCACCACCTCTCTAATCCATGACTATGTTCATGGTGAACGTTTTTTTTTTCCTTTTAACAGCTGGAATTTCCAGTGTCCAAACTTCTGCCATTGTCTCTCTGAGAAGAGTCTGGCTTCACCTTTTCTATACCCTTTCATGACGAATCCCTGGAAGCGTTCAAGGCCAGACTGGATGAGGCTTTGGGCAAGCTGGTGTAGTGGAGGGTTTCCCTGCCCATGGCAGGGGGATTGGAACTAGATGATCTTTGAGATCCCTTTCAACCCTAGCCATTCTATGATTCTATGAATCTGAAGAGAAGATAGGACCTTGCCTTGCCTTCTTGGGGCTGAAGAAATCCAGTTCCCCGTGCCAACCCTCATTCATCTCGTGCTCCAGTCTCTCAGCCACCTTTACAGCACTTCACTGGACTCACTCCCATCTGCCAATGTCTGTCTTGTGCCAGGGAACCCAAAACTGGGGAGAGTGCTCCACTGCTGTTTTGCAAATGTCAAAAAAGGGGAAAAGACCACTTCTGTCAACCTGCTTGCTACACTCCTGCAGCTTACTTCTTATGAAGTAAAACCAAGTTCAAGTTGATCTGTTGAAAGTCACTTTCTAAATCCACCCATTAGCATGAATCACCACTACACAAAGCACTGCAGTGCAAGGAGATGATAAGGGCTTGAGCTCATGCAATTAATACTATACAAGACAGAACAAGAGCCCCTCCATGTTGAAGATCAGTCTAGAAAACAATAAAAGTCACAATTTCCCAGGGGAGCACCTCTAGATTGAAGCACTCTCTGTCAGCAGAAAACTGAGGCAATCCTTGAATTGAGTCCAACTCTGAGAAGTACCTGACAAGAGAAAACGAGTTGCCAGGAGCAGCCTCTGTAACCCAGACAAGCACACAACTACTCTGCTGCTGAGAATCAAGACAACGGGGTAAGAGCTTAATTTCAATCTCGCAGATACTCAAAATAATTTTACTTTGCCAGTGGACGGCCACCTTCTCTTTATGAGGACAATGCACAAGAACTTTAGGATTGGGGACTTATAGACGTGATGAATCATGCTGTAGAACACAGTATGCATCTAATGAAGCTTTTCCCACCCACCCAAATTCCTCTACCGACCAGAAATCTTCCAGCATCATGAGGCTGGAATATGGAAAAGCTGAGATCTGAAGACACTGAGGTCACAGGACAGAAATTCTGACACAGGTATAGGCATAGAATTCCTCACTGATGGGAAATCTTGAAGAACACAAAGCTTCTTTACAGGCAAGAACACAAGAACAACTTAATGCTGTGCTAGATTACTGAGCAATTAAAGTAAGATACCAAACACACTCTTCCAAAACAGATTATTTTCCCTCCATCTTTTCTCAGTTTTTACTGACTCATGGAAGAAATACACATCATTACATGCTCGCTTTCAACTTAAAGAAGATTATACAGTAGCACGTACCTGTACTACTTGTTTCTGTGGTTGTGTTGGCTGTGTGGTTGAAATCTGCGTTTTGTCCCGAGTGCCCCGGGTACGTTCACTGCCCACCGAAGTCATCATATACAGTATATACAAAACAACGTATGTACAAAATAGAAAATCTGAAAGGAAAGAGGGAAAAAAAAAACCACAAACACATGAGTTAAGGCAGGGTACTGATTGAATACCCAGATAATATACAAATGCAGTAGCTTGAACTCTTCCTGCCTTTACCACGAACTCTAAACAGAGACTCCTGAGAAAGCAGCTTTAATACACTATCGTTGGATTTATCACAGCCTTTACAGTAAAAGGGCAAATGCAGTGGATAAAAAGCGTTTTTGTTAGCTGATTAGGATCTGTCTAGGTCTGTACTTCCCAGAAGACATCTAAATCTCAAAGCTTTTTCCAGTTATTTAACATACAGAATTTTCTACCTGCTACTCTGCTGAAGTTTCAGCTCCAGCTGTATCACTCCTTAAATTTCTGTAATACCTGCTGTCTTGTTTTGATGCCTGGAATTTAACCTCCCTCATACCCACTTTGCTAATGCAAAAATCACATTCACAAACCAGGCAGTTGCTCTCTTCCCTATCATCAAACCGCTTTCCTGCACATTTACAGAGGTCACGGCCAATGCCCACTGTAATTCTTACCTCTTATTTATAAAAGTGGTGATGCTTGCCTTTAAATCCAGCCTCTATAGCCAGTATTTTGTTTTGTTCTCTCTAATACTTATAGAAGTTATTCACAAAACTACCTATTACCCTGCTTTAAATACACCTTTGTTCTATGGCAACAAAGAAACCCAAAAGAAAACCCAAATCCCACAGACACATCACTGCTATTTCGTTGGTGGCAGTCAGCTTTCACTCCCATTCATCCACTAGCATTAAAATTATTCGGAAACAATAAATTTATTATTCCCCCTGTGTTTGTATAGCATCAATTATAGGCTAATTGATGAGAGTGGTTTATAGTAGCTAACTGGAAACAGATCTCTCAACTGTTTAGAATGGTCACAGTCAACTGCCTGGTTTCTGTCCCCGTGGCACTGGAAAGTAAAACTGCAAATTTAGGGATCAACCTCCAAGTGGTGCACCTGGGCAGAGGGAGAGATGCAAACAGGCAGCGAAGCACTTTTACTGCAGCCCGCAAGTACGAACGTGTCTCAGCACACAACTTCTCAGGGCAGCAGCCTGGGTGCGAGCTGGCTGTCACCGAGTTCAAAGCACAGCAGTGCTCAGATGGAAACTGAGCAAACTGCCTTGATGGAATGGACAAAGATGTGTTCGATACCCGACTGCTCGCTGGCACTCACGAGCAATGGGAACTCCCCAATAAAGCTGCAATGAGATGCTTCAGTTTAAACATTGATTGACAGGCTTAGCAGCCTCATCTAGAATCAAAAAGACAATTAACCCCATTATCATCTAAATCTTTTCTTCACTTTAGAAATACATTTTTCTTGGCCGTAACTGAACCTCGACATTGAATTTCTTTATGTGCTACTTAAAGCATTCAATAAAGTCTGAGAGAAAGTGTATTTCCATGAACTCTTACATATTTAACAAGAAAAGGCCTGCCTTTACCAGGAACTGACTGTCGTATGAGCTGAACTGGAACACCGTGTTTCTCCAGCTTGATGAAAATATTCACCAAAGCTAATCTGTCTCCCAGTCTCTTAAGGCAGTCTAATTTTGTTGCCTTCCAAGCTCCAGAACACACAGGCCTTCAGAGCACTGCGCTTGACAACCTAAAAGCCAGGTATCGTCAGAACAGCGGTTATTCAAGCTCCTGACAACATGTTCCATGGAAAGCAAACTATTAAGTAGACCTGGAGACACTCCGAACAGTAAGTTCAACCCTTATCGCCGACTATCTCATCGTAGCTGCCCACTGGTATTTTAAACACGTTACGGACAGTCTTTGGCTGAGTTTGTAGAAGAAATTACTTCTGCTCTTTGTGCTAAAATCTGGTTTATAAGCTTTGATGACTAGTCTGCCAACATCTAAAAACTAACTCTATATACACAAATAACAACCTTCAGGTTGTTTGGTTTTTGTGGTGTTTTTTTACCAGGGTTTTTTTGGGGGGTTTTTTTAATCAGTCAGCTCATCACGATTTGAACCTAGCACAATGCGCAATGAAGAAAAGCCCTGAACAGAGAACACGACAACGAGCACTAACCACTCTGAGAGACAAGATAATAGTTTCAAATATGATTGTCTGGAATTAGCCCATTGTGATTTAAGATACGTTGAGAAATTTTAACTCCATTGGGTCTCAATTTGTTCATTGTTTCTGAATTAACATCATATTTACACAGATTCTGGTACCTAGAAATCTTACATCATGTTTATACAGATTTTGGTACATAGAAATCTTGACGTATATTTCACTGCTATTTTCTCTAATTTCACCAAAGCTACTCAAAATATCGGGATCCATGTTTCAGACACGATGGCTGTACACACACAATAAAACAAGGAGTCTTACATTTGTTTGTAAAGCATACACTGAACTACAGCCTACACTTCTGATAGACAGGCAACCTACGGTACCCGAAGAGGACTGTGTCTTTTCTCTCTCTTCTAACATGTATTTTACAGTATCTCTGTGCCAAAGCTGTTTAAGCCATGTCTGTTTTTCATGATAAAAGGACACTTTCAGGAAAAAGGCAGGCACACAAACGTTTGAAACACTGCAGAGGGATGAAGGAGCACAGGAAGCCCAGCCTGCCGGTGAGAACAGAGCCAAACAACCTGAATGGTATGACGGGATCTTTAAAGAAGATCCTCATCTTGCCGACTTTGTGGCCCATGAGCAGCACAATTTGGCAACAGGTCTCAGTAGAAAACCAGCAAAGGTGAGAGCCTCTTCCTGGCAGCAGTATGGACTTGCATTTGCTTCAGAAAAGCGTGGAAACACACCCTCAACTTGACGTTCCCCATCAAGCCAACACAGACATAGAATCATAGAATGGTTAGGGCTGGAAGGGACCTTCAAAGGTCATCTAGTCCAACCCCCCTGCAAGGAACAGGGATATCTCCAACTAGATCAGGTTGCTCAGGGCCTTGTCCAACCTGGCCTTGAACGTCTCCAGGGATGGAGCATCCACCACGTCTCTGGGCAACCTGTTCCAGTGTTCTACCACATACTATAATGCATTTCAGACACAATCCAGTCTTCTCAAAAGCACACTGGCAGCTTGGTATAAAGAGAGCTTTCAAAATAAAGCTATTTTATTTCCCCTTAGCTGGCTCCCATTTTCTACAGGCAGCATCCAGACACAGCAACCAGCCCAGCCCCAGCACACACGAGGAGCAGTTGAAGGGCCCAGCTCCACCACCAGCAGGGTACTGACCAGGGAAACATCACACCTCCCTGGCACAGACATGCCTTCACTACACTGGGCTGAAGCTTCGCACCCTACCACACCTACTTTAAAGTACCAAAGCAGAAGGCAGGCAGATAGCCACTGCCTTCAAATTACCACAGTGACTACAATTTCAAGTGTTAAGTGGGATATTATTAATTAATAAGACAGGGCTGAACACGAACATTTCCTTGCTCACAAAGCGGCTTCTTATTCTCTCCAATTTCTTATATTAAGTCTGTTTGGCAGGCTGTTGTCATAGCAATGAGCAGGATATCACAAACTGATGAGCTTAATTTTAACTACAGATCAAATGAGGAAAGAAGATTTGAGACTGGGAGGAATGCAACCCTTAATTAAAATCAGTTTGATAAAGATCAAAAAAATATTCAGACGAGTAGATGTTTCAGTTTCCATGTCAGGGTCTGGTTCAGTGCAAAAGTCCCTCATCAGCAGATAACACTTGACCTTGTAAACACACTGCAACACAAGTAAGCAGCCAAGACAACTGCATTTTGAAGAAATAAATACAAATTAAATGAAACAAAACATCCAGAGCACCAGCAAAAAAGGAGATTGGACTTTCCAAAACTGTGGGTAAAGAAAGTGGTCATACTTTCTTTCACGACAATAAAAAACAAAAACAAAACCAAACAAGATTGCTGTGAATCTTTTTTCACTGATGTAATCTAGTCCCTCCAGACAAAGGCTATCTTTACTTCTACTTTAAAAACAAACAAAACACCCCAAACAAAACAAAACAAAACAAAAAAACAGCTTGATCAGTACTTAAGAAAATTGTTCAAGTACATTTAGCTTCTCAAGGACTAAGGAATTCAAATTTCAGCACTTCCTCATAAAGCAAATAACTAGACTTAAAAACCGAAAGTAAAACAAGCATTTAAGAGGAAAACCACCCCAAATCTCAATGTTCTGTTTTACTGTTTCCGTCTGTACAGCAAGTTTAGCCCAAGGACCTACACTACAACAGTAGATACAGTATTGTGTAACGAGCTGTCACTAGACTGGTTTCCAAAAGCAGTACCTAAGCACTGGTACCTCAACACTCAACTTTCCTAAACAGACCAAATCCCACTCCATCCCGAAGTCTCCATGCCATAAGTCTTATTCAACACATTTAGTTGTGGTTGTGCTCTGGATTTTAGAAGCAAAAGAGGAAGGCAAAGAATGAAAGAGTAATTAAATGCATGTCAACACAAAAAGCAGGTTTTTAAAGCTATCATAATTATAGAATCAAAGAATGGTTTGGGTTGGAAGGGACCTCAAAGATCATCTAGTTCCAATCCCCTGCCATGGGCAGGGACACCTTCCACTACACCAAGTTGCTCAAAGCCTCATCCAACCTGGTCTGAACACTTCCAGGAATGGGGCATAATGCTTTCTTTGATCATTTTGTGCAACTTCCCTTCAGCAAGAAATCTAGTCCTTTTAGACTCAAAGAAGTCAGAAAAGCTAGAGATATACAGAATACAAATCGACTTGACAGGGTGGCAAGCCCCATGAGACACAGTGAATCTATTACTGAACTTCCAGGAACAAACCACGCACAGCAATGGCATCTGACTTTCAAGAATCCTTCTGAAGTTAAATTTTCACTTCCATCAACTGAAGAAAACATTTGCAGTTTCAATTCTTTTCCTGAGGCAGCCTCAAGAAAGTTATCTTCTTGACTCTCTGGACAAGGAGCTTTGATAAAGAACACTCTGGAGAAATCTCTGTGA